TTTCATCCCACTGACACCAAATTTGCTCAGGCCAATCTACACCCCATGGCCATTAAAAGTTATTCAAATCATGACGCTGCACCCCACGGTTTAGGTTCTAGGGGGCGCCAAAGATGACCCAAATATCCACATTCTTAAAAGAATCCACATCCCCCCCCCATCCCCCATCCCCCATGGCAGGAGAAACAGTCAAGTTTTTCCTGCCCATCACTCAATGGCTCAATCGCATCACTCTCCCGGCAACACCGTAACGAGGAGCAACTTGCCGTTTGGATATATCCTAGCTGTGTTTGTGCCCTCACTCATGGTCCAGACTTTTTTCAAATAGGACATGTAGTTTGTCTGCAGCGAGTGTTTTGGTAGAAACTGCGCCTCCCATTCATTATAATGGGAAATGACCACAGACAAGTGCGCACACCATCTTTGGACCTTGAGTGTGACGCGATCGGGAGGGGGAGGCGGTCGCGCTGGGGGCGGCGCAACGCGGCTCGGGCCCGACAGTGCCCCACCGGGGTCCTAGTTCTTTGTTTCTTTCTTTCTTTCTTTCTTTCTTTCTTTCTTCTTTTTCCTCCCCTTTGAACTGGAAAATGGCCCACTTCCCACTGGCGAAAACTCATGAAATTTGGCAGGACGACCGGGCCTGGTGAAAAATTCGATATTCTGAAGTCGCCCAAACAATAAAATGCAAAATGGCTCCATAGCGCCCCCTAAGGTGGAAATTCACACTATTGACTGTCAGGCCTGTACGCTTTGTCATATTGACACAAAAATTGACACACATATGTATCTTAATAAGATCTACAAAAAAGTCAGTGCGGCCGTATCTGTCAAAATTACGGTTAAAGGGTTATTTCGCATTTTTTGCCGATCCGCACACATTGGAATTTCGCTAACTCCTCCGAAGGCTTTCGTTCCACCGGCACCACATTTGCTCAGGCCAATCTACACCCCGTGGCCATTAAAAGTTATCAAAATCATGACGCTGCACCCCAAGGTTTAGGTTCTAGGGGGCGCCAAAGATAACACTAAAATCCACATATTTAAAAGTCTTATAACTTTTTATTTTTGTCCTCACTGGCCTCCAAGTTTTCTAGGATGATGCAATGTCCAGCCATCAACACATTTGTGAAGGAATTTTTACTCCCCAAAAGAGCGCCCCCCCATGGCAGAAGAAAAAAGTCCATTTTTTCTTGTCCCCTAAGGTGAAAATACACATTGTTGAGTGTCACGCCTATACGCTTTGTCAAAATGACACAAAAATTGACACACACATGTAACTCAATAAGATCTACGAAAAAGTCAATGCGCGCGTATCTGTCAAATGTACGGTTAAAGGGTTATTCCGCATTTTTTGCCGATCCGCACACATTGGAATGTGGCTAACTCCTCCTAAGGCTTTCGTTCCACCGGCACCACATTTGCTCAGGCCAATCTACACCCCGTGGCCATTAAAAGTTATCAAAATCATGACGCTGCACCCCACGGTTTAGGTTCTAGGGGGCGCCAAAGATAACACTAAAATCCACATATTTAAAAGTCTTATAACTTTTTATTTTTGTCCTCACTGGCCTCCAAGTTTTCTAGGATGATGCAATGTCCAGCCATCAACACATTTGTGAAGGAATTTTTACTCCCCAAAAGAGCGCCCCCCCATGGCAGGAGAAAAAAGTCCATTTTTTCTTGTCCCCTAAGGTGAAAATTCACACTATTGACTGTCAGGCCTGTACGCTTTGTCATATTGACACAAAAATTGACACACACATGTATCTCAATAAGATCTACGAAAAAGTCAGTGCCCCGTATCTGTCAAATGTACGGTTAAAGGGTTATTTCGCATTTTTTGCCGATGCGCACACATTGGAATTTCGCTAACTCCTCCTAAGGCTTTCGTTCCACCGGCACCACATTTGCTCAGGCCAATCTACACCCCATGGTCATTGAAAGTTATTCAAATCATGATGCTGCACCCCACGGTTTAGGTTCTAGGGGGCGCCAAATATAACCCTAAATCCACATATTTAAAAGTCTTATAACTTTTTATTTTTGTCCTCACTGGCCTCCAAGTTCTCTAGGATGATGCAATGTCCAGCCATCAACACATTTGTGAAGGAATTTTTACTCCCCAAAAGAGCGCCCCCCATGGCAGGAGAAAAAAGTCCATTTTTTCTTGTCCCCTAAGGTGAAAATACACATTGTTGAGTGTCACGCCTGTACGCTTTGTCAAAATTACACAAAAATTGACACACACATGTATCTCAATAAGATCTACAAAAAAGTCAGTGCTGGCGTATCTGTCAAATGTATGGTTAAAGGGTTATTGCGCATTTTTTGCCGATCCGCACACATTGGAATGTGGCTAACTCCTCCTAAGGCTTTCATCCCACTGACACCAAATTTGCTCAGGCCAATCTACACCCCATGGCCATTAAAAGTTATTCAAATCATGACGCTGCACCCCACGGTTTAGGTTCTAGGGGGCGCCAAAGATGACCCAAATATCCACATTCTTAAAAGAATCCACATCCCCCCCATCCCCCATCCCCCATGGCAGGAGAAACAGTCAAGTTTTTCCTGCCCATCACTCAATGGCTCAATCGCATCACTCTCCCGGCAACACCGTAACGAGGAGCAACTTGCCGTTTGGATATATCCTAGCTGTGTTTGTGCCCTCACTCATGGTCCAGACTTTTTTCAAATAGGACATGTAGTTTGTCTGCAGCGAGTGTTTTGGTAGAAACTGCGCCTCCCATTCATTATAATGGGAAATGACCACAGACAAGTGCGCACACCATCTTTGGACCTTGAGTGTGACGCGATCGGGAGGGGGAGGCGGTCGCGCTGGGGGCGGCGCAACGCGGCTCGGGCCCGACAGTGCCCCACCGGGGTCCTAGTTCTTTGTTTCTTTCTTTCTTTCTTTCTTTCTTTCTTTCTTCTTTTTCCTCCCCTTTGAACTGGAAAATGGCCCACTTCCCACTGGCGAAAACTCATGAAATTTGGCAGGACGACCGGGCCTGGTGAAAAATTCGATATTCTGAAGTCGCCCAAACAATAAAATGCAAAATGGCTCCATAGCGCCCCCTAAGGTGGAAATTCACACTATTGACTGTCAGGCCTGTACGCTTTGTCATATTGACACAAAAATTGACACACATATGTATCTTAATAAGATCTACAAAAAAGTCAGTGCGGCCGTATCTGTCAAAATTACGGTTAAAGGGTTATTTCGCATTTTTTGCCGATCCGCACACATTGGAATTTCGCTAACTCCTCCGAAGGCTTTCGTTCCACCGGCACCACATTTGCTCAGGCCAATCTACACCCCGTGGCCATTAAAAGTTATCAAAATCATGACGCTGCACCCCAAGGTTTAGGTTCTAGGGGGCGCCAAAGATAACACTAAAATCCACATATTTAAAAGTCTTATAACTTTTTATTTTTGTCCTCACTGGCCTCCAAGTTTTCTAGGATGATGCAATGTCCAGCCATCAACACATTTGTGAAGGAATTTTTACTCCCCAAAAGAGCGCCCCCCATGGCAGAAGAAAAAAGTCCATTTTTTCTTGTCCCCTAAGGTGAAAATACACATTGTTGAGTGTCACGCCTATACGCTTTGTCAAAATGACACAAAAATTGACACACACATGTAACTCAATAAGATCTACGAAAAAGTCAATGCGCGCGTATCTGTCAAATGTACGGTTAAAGGGTTATTCCGCATTTTTTGCCGATCCGCACACATTGGAATGTGGCTAACTCCTCCTAAGGCTTTCGTTCCACCGGCACCACATTTGCTCAGGCCAATCTACACCCCGTGGCCATTAAAAGTTATCAAAATCATGACGCTGCACCCCACGGTTTAGGTTCTAGGGGGCGCCAAAGATAACACTAAAATCCACATATTTAAAAGTCTTATAACTTTTTATTTTTGTCCTCACTGGCCTCCAAGTTTTCTAGGATGATGCAATGTCCAGCCATCAACACATTTGTGAAGGAATTTTTACTCCCCAAAAGAGCGCCCCCCCATGGCAGGAGAAAAAAGTCCATTTTTTCTTGTCCCCTAAGGTGAAAATTCACACTATTGACTGTCAGGCCTGTACGCTTTGTCATATTGACACAAAAATTGACACACACATGTATCTCAATAAGATCTACGAAAAAGTCAGTGCCCCGTATCTGTCAAATGTACGGTTAAAGGGTTATTTCGCATTTTTTGCCGATGCGCACACATTGGAATTTCGCTAACTCCTCCTAAGGCTTTCGTTCCACCGGCACCACATTTGCTCAGGCCAATCTACACCCCATGGTCATTGAAAGTTATTCAAATCATGATGCTGCACCCCACGGTTTAGGTTCTAGGGGGCGCCAAATATAACCCTAAATCCACATATTTAAAAGTCTTATAACTTTTTATTTTTGTCCTCACTGGCCTCCAAGTTCTCTAGGATGATGCAATGTCCAGCCATCAACACATTTGTGAAGGAATTTTTACTCCCCAAAAGAGCGCCCCCCCATGGCAGGAGAAAAAAGTCCATTTTTTCTTGTCCCCTAAGGTGAAAATACACATTGTTGAGTGTCACGCCTGTACGCTTTGTCAAAATTACACAAAAATTGACACACACATGTATCTCAATAAGATCTACAAAAAAGTCAGTGCTGGCGTATCTGTCAAATGTATGGTTAAAGGGTTATTGCGCATTTTTTGCCGATCCGCACACATTGGAATGTGGCTAACTCCTCCTAAGGCTTTCATCCCACTGACACCAAATTTGCTCAGGCCAATCTACACCCCATGGCCATTAAAAGTTGTAAAAATCATGGCGGTGCACCCCACGGTTTACGTTCTAGGGGGCGCCAAAGATGACCCAAATATCCACATTCTTAAAAGAATCCACATCCCCCCCCCCCCCATCCCCCATCCCCCATGGCAGGAGAAACAGTCAAGTTTTTCCTGCCCATCACTCAATGGCTCAATCGCATCGCTCTCCCGGCAACACCGTAACGAGGAGCAACTTGCCGTTTGGATATATCCTAGCTGTGTTTGTGCCCTCACTCATGGTCCAGACTTTTTTCAAATAGGATATGTAGTTTGTCTGCAGCGAGTGTTTTGGTAGAAACTGCGCCTCCCATTGATTATAATGGGAAATGACCACAGACAAGTGCGCACACCATCTTTGGACCTTGAGTGTGACGCGATCGGGAGGGGGAGGTGGTCGCTCGGGGCGGCGCGACGCGGCTCGGGCCCGACAGTGCCCCACCGGGGCCCTAGTTAGGGCCCGAGCGTAGCTGCTAAGCAGCTGCGAGAGCCCTCTTGTTCCTGCATGTTTCCTTCTTTTGTTATTATTATTATTTTTCCTCCCCTTTGAACTGGAAAATGGCCCACTTCCCACTGGCGAAAACTCATGAAATTTGGCAGGACGACCGGGCCTGGTGAAAAATTTGATATTCCGAAGTCGCCCAAACAAGAAAATGCAAAATGGCTCCATAGCGCCCCCTAAGGTGAAAATTCACACTATTGACTGTCACGCGTGTACGCTTTGTCAAAATGACACAAAAATTGACACACACATGTATCTCAATAAGATCTACAAAAAAGTCAGTGCGGGCGTATCTGTCAAATGTACGGTTAAAGGGTTATTTCGCATTTTTTGCCGATCCGCACACATTGGAATTTCGCTAACTCCTCCGAAGGTTTTCGTTCCACCGGCACCACATTTGCTCAGGCCAATCTACACCCCATGGCCATTAAAAGTTATTCAAATCATGACGCTGCACCCCACGGTTTAGGTTCTAGGGGGCGCCAAAGATAACCCTAAGATCCACATATTTAAAAGTCTTATAACTTTTTATTTTTGCCCTCACTGGCCTCCAAGTTTTCTAGGATGATGCAATGTCCAGCCATCAACACATTTGTGAAGGAATTTTTACTCCCCAAAAGAGCGCCCCCCCATGGCAGGAGAAAAAAGTCAATTTTTTCTTGTCCCCTAAGGTGAAAATACACATTGTTGAGTGTAACACCTGTACGCTTTGGCAAAATGACACAAAAATTGACACACACATGTATCTCAATAAGATCTACGAAAAAGTCAATGCGCGCGTATCTGTCAAATGTACGGTTAAAGGGTTATTCCGCATTTTTTGCCGATCCGCACACATTGGAATTTCGCTAACTCCTCCGAAGGCTTTCGTTCCACCGGCACCACATTTGCTCAGGCCAATCTACACCCCATGGCCATTAAAAGTTATTCAAATCATGACGCTGCACCCCACGGTTTAGGTTCTAGGGGGCGCCAAAGATAACCCTAAAATCCACATATTTCAAAGTCTTATAACTTTTTATTTTTGTCCTCACTGGCCTCCAAGTTTTCTAGGATGATGCAATGTCCAGCCATCAACACATTTGTGAAGGAATTTTTACTCCCCAAAAGAGCGCCCCCCCATGGCAGGAGAAAAAAGTCAATTTTTTCTTGTCCCCTAAGGTGGAAATTCACACTATTGACTGTCACGCCTGTACGCTTTATCATATTGACACAAAAATTGACACACATATGTATCTCAATAAGATCTACAAAAAAGTCAATGCGCGTGTATCTGTCAAATGTACGGTTAAAGGGCTATTTTGCATTTTTTGCCGATTCGCACACATTGGAATGTGGCTAACTCCTCCTAAGGCTTTCGTCCCACTGACACCAAATTTGCTCAGGCCAATCTACACCCCATGGCCATGCAAAGTTGTAAAAATCATGACGCTGCACCCCACGGTTTACGTTCTAGGGGGCGCCAAAGATGACCCAAAAATCCACATTCTTAAAGGAATCCACATCCCCCCCCCAAGGCAGGAGAAAAAGTCAAGTTTACCCTGCCCATCGCTCAATGGCTCAATCGCATCGCTCTCCAGGCAACACCGTAAGGAGGAGCAACCTGCCATTTCGATATATCATAGCTGTGTTTGTGCCCTCACTCATGGTCCAGACTTTTTTCAAATAGGACATGAAGTTTGTCTGCAGCGAGTGTTTTGGTAGAAACTGCGCCTCCCATTCATTATAATGGGAAATGACCACAGACAAGTGAGCACACCATCTTTGGACCTTGAGTGTGACGCGATCGGGAGGGGGAGGCGGTCGCGCTGGGGGCGGCGCGACGCGGCTCGGGCCCGACAGTGCCCCACCGGGGCCCTAGTTCTTTCTTTCTTTCTTTCTTCTTTTTCCTCCCCTTTGAACTGGAAAATGGCCCACTTCCCACTGGCGAAAACTCAGGAAATTTGGCAGGACGACCGGGCCTGGTGAAAAATTCGATATTCCGAAGTCGCCCAAACAAGAAAATGCAAAATGGCTCCATAGCGCCCCCTAAGGTGAAAATTCACACTATTGACTGTCACGCCTGTACGCTTTGTCAAAATGACACAAAAATTGACACACACATGTATCTCAATAAGATCTACAAAAAAGTCAGTGCGGGCGTATCTGTCAAATGTACGGTTAAAGGGTTATTTCGCATTTTTTGCCGATCCGCACACATTGGAATTTCGCTAACTCCTCCGAAGGCTTTCGTTCCACCGGCACCACATTTGCTCAGGCCAATCTACACCCCATGGCCATTAAAAGTTATTCAAATCATGACGCTGCACCCCACGGTTTAGGTTCTAGGGGGCGCCAAAGATAACCCAAAAATCCACATTTTTAAAAGTCTTATAACTTTTTATTTTTGTCCTCACTGGCCTCCAAGTTTTCTAGGATGATGCAATGTCCAGCCATCAACACATTTGTGAAGGAATTTTTACTTCCTAAAAGAGCGCCCCCCCATGGCAGGAGAAAAAAGTCCATTTTTTCTTGTCCCCTAAGGTGAAAATACACATTGTTGACTGTCACGCCTGTACGCTTTGGCAAAATGACACAAAAATTGACAATCATGTGTATCTCAATTAGATCTACGAAAAAGTCAAAGAGCGCGTATCTGTATAATGTACGGTAAAAGGGCTATTTTGCATTTTTTGCCGATTCGCACACATTGGAATTTCGCTAACTCCTCCTAAGGCTTTCGTCCCACTGACACCAAATTTGCTCAGGCCAATCTACACTCCATGGCCATTCAAAGTTGTAAAAATCATGACGCTGCACCCCACGGTTTACGTTTTAGGGGGCGCCAAAGATGACCCAAATATACATTACAGTAGACAAAGTAGTTTTGCCCACTGAGTGGCGCCAAAGGGACTTGTCTATGGAGTCTGTGAGTCACTATTGGCCGTTTTTGACTACTTTAGATTTTACCTTTATATTTCCTCTTACAAAATTTTTACCTTGCCTTGCCTGGTATCATTTTTTTCAGCACAACCTCACCTGTGTCAATTTACAGTTATTTTATCATTTTGACATACTATATTTACACATTGGACCCAAATTCACACACAAAACATAAAATCCGAGTGGAAAAAAGTAACGTTTTTACTGTGAAAACCACAAATATGTGTGATGAACTGTTTTTAAAACTTAAACTTCAAATAAAAATTGTAAACTTCAGAACATATGCAAATTTTTAACAAAGAACATAGTAATTTACCTCTATTTACATCAAAATGCAGGCAATGGCTCAGGTGTTCTTTGTAAAATTATTTACAAAACACTGTATAGTCTCACAAATGTCACTTTTTATTTATGCCACTACAAAAAAACATGATGTAAATGATGCATGATGTAAAACATGATGTAAAAAACTTGTGTAGATCCTCCTCTATGTCAGTCCATGTGTAATTTTTCCATAATTCTTTGTTTTTTGCAGCATTTTTGTTAGTGTAACTGCAGATTGTGCTGACAGTGTCTATGGCACAAAAAAGAAAAAAATTAAAATTCCTCAACATGAACCCCTGGTGGTCTCTGAGGGTGAAACCTGCTAACTGCTGCAGCTCTGTCAGCTTCAGTCTCCCATGCAGAGCTCTGAGCGCATGTGTGGCTCTGCACCCTTAGCAGCGTTGCTAACTCCTCAGTAAGGAAAGCCTGCTTCATGTCAGAGTCTCTAAACTCCAGAAGAAGTCGATAAAAGTCCCTTTCTTTCTAAAAAAAGTCGTTAGGGGGTCTGAAAAGTCATTGAATCTAACAACAAAGTCGCTAGGTTTGCAACTACGTGTCCCAGACTGCATCCCTGCTGAGAGTCCCTCCCTCCCTTCTCATGTTGCAGGAAGAACGTAAGCGCCCGCCCCTTGTCATTCAGTCACCATATAATTTTGGATTGGTTGTTGTGGTGAAGTTTTCCACCAATAGGAGAGATGTTGTGGTGTGTTTTTTTTTTTCTTTTGGCAAGCCTTTTCCGCCTGTAAGACCTGTCGCTAATGTCTGCATGCTATGTTTTCCTGTCTCATACAGCGCGATCGAGCGCCGAACGTGATCAAAATAAGCAGAAAAAAAGTATCGCGGACATAATTTATCATAACTTTGGTTTTATTTGGCCTATCAACACAATTTAAAAACTGGTATATAGGTTGAGGTCCTCACTTTTGAGATAAGTTGAAACGGAGAGTCAACGAGGCTCCGTCTTGCAGCTACATCCGGTTAAATATGTCATGTGACTTGAACGCACACACAGACACACACACACTCACACACACACACACACACACACACACACACACACACACACACACACACACACACACTCAGAGTCTGTTTTTTAGCACCTGCAAAAACATGCTATTTACATATTTGACAAGAATGCAGAGGCTCCTTTTGCCCCTGAAAAAAATCAAATTTCAAACACAACTTGACTGGTCATTTCTCCAAAAGACAACCATGAAGCTCCATCCAAACCTGAAGCAGGCAGTTGGTGCATGTGTACAATAACCTGAGGGGAGTGAGGTGAGTGCTTCTGAGGAGAACATGAGCAGTGAAGATTCACCTTGGTGCTAGAACAGAGACATGCACATGATTATACAGGGGCAGGGGCTCAAGTTTTTTCCAGTCGTTTATACAATATGGAAATTAATGTGAAATTAAAACACAAAGTATTAATAGAAAGGTAATGACTGTCCTGTGTAGGTGACAGTGATATCCAATAGGCTAGGCACTCACGAGGCTGGCTGTGGCAAGTGTAAGTGAAAGCAACACGCACTGGCAGGAAGAACAGCAAACGCCGATGAAGGAAAAGGGTCTTTGCAGTGATGGGCGTTACCAGAGAGGGCGATGGCCAGAGGACACAAATGGGACGGGGAGGCAGCACGTTGGGGGGGGGGGGGGGGGGCGACACGGCTCGGGCCCGCCAGTGCCCCAACGGGGTCCTAGTTCTTTCTTTAGGGCCCGAGCGTAGCTGCTAAGCAGCTGCGAGAGCCCTCTTGTTCCTGCATGTTTCCTTCTTTCGTTATTATTTTTCCTCCGCTTTAAACTGGAAAATGGCCCACTTCCCACTGGCGAAAACTCAGGAAATTTGGCAGGACGACCGGGCCTGGTGAAAAATTCGATATTCTGAAGTCGCCCAAACAATAAAATGCAAAATGGCTCCATAGCGCCCCCTAAGGTGAAAATTCACATGACGGCTGTAAGCTTTGTCATATTGACACAAAAATTGACACACACATGTATCTCAATAAGATCTACAAAAAAGTCAGTGCGGGCGTATCTGTCAAATGTACGGTTAATGGGTTATTTTGCATTTTTTGCAGATCTGCACACATTGGAATTTCGCTAACTCCTCCGAAGGCTTTCGTTCGACCGGCACCACATTTGCGCAGGCCAATCTACCCCCCATGGCCATTAAAAGTTGTACAAATCATGACGCTGCACCCCACGGTTTACGTTCTAGGGGGCGCCAAAGATAACCCAAAATCCACATTCTTAAAAGTCTTATAACTTTTTATTTTTGTCCTCACTGCCCTCCAAGTTTTCTAGGATGATGCAATGTCCAGCCATCAACACATTTGTGAAGGAATTTTTACTCCCCAAAAGAGCGCCCCCCCATGGCAGGAGAAAAAAGTCAATTTTTTCTTGTCCCCTTACATGAAAATACACATTGTTGAGTGTCATGCCTGAACGCTTTGTCATATTGACACAAAAATTGACAATCACGTGTATCTCAATTAGATCTACGAAAAAGTCAAAAAGCGCGTATCTGTATAATGTACGGTTAAAGGGCTATTTCGCATTTTTTGCCGATTCGCACACATTGGAATGTGGCTATCTCCTCCTAAGGCTTTCGTCCCACCGATACCAAATTTGCTCAGGGCAATCTACACCCCATGCCCATTCAAAGTTGTAAAAATCATGACGCTGCACCCCACGGTTTACGTTCTAGGGGGCACCAAAGATGACCCAAAAATCCACATTCTTAAAAGTCATTTTGGCCACTGCAGGAGTACAGAGTACTGCAGTTCTAGGGGGCGCCAAAGATGACCCAAAAATCCACATTCTTAAAAGTCTTTTTGGCCACTGCAGGAGTACAGAGTACTGCAGGATACACACACATATACACACACACACACACACACACACACACACACACACACACACACTCAGAGTCTGTTTTTTAGCACCTGCAAAAACATGCTGTTTACATATTTGACAAGAATGCAGAGGCTTCCTTTTGCCCCTGAAAAAAATCAGATTTCAAACACAACTTGACTGTTCATTTCTCCAAAAGACAACCATGAAGCTCCATCCAAACCTGAAGCAGATAGTTGGTGCATGTGTACAGTAACCTGAGGGGAGTGAGGTGACTATTTCTGAGGAGAACATGAGCAGTGAAGATTCACCTTGGAGCTAGAACAGGGACGTGCACATGATTATACAGGGGCAGGGGCTCAAGTTTTTTCCAGTCATTTATACAATATGGAAATTAATGTGAAATTAAAACACAAATATGTGTGATGAACTGTTTTTAAAACTTAAACTTCAAATAAAAATTGTAAACTTCAAAACATATGCAAATTTTTAACAAAGAACATAGTGATTTACCTCTATTTACATCAAAATGCAGGCAATGGCCCAGGCGTTCTTTGTAAAATTATTTACAAAACACTGTATAGTCTCACAAATGTCACTTTTTATTTATGCCACTACAAAAAAACATGATGTAAATGATGCATGATGTAAAACATGATGTAAAAAACTTGTGTAGATCCTCCTCTATGTCAGTCCATGTGTAATTTTTCCATAATTCTTTGTTTTTTGCAGCATTTTTGTTAGTGTAACTGCAGATTGTGCTGACAGTCTATGGCAAAAAAAACAAAAACTGAAAATGCCTCAACATGAACCCCTGGTGGTCTCTGAGGGTGAAACCTGCTAACTGCTGCAGCTCTGTCAGCTTCAGTCTCCCATGCAGAGCTCGGAGCGCATGTGTGGCTCTGCACCCTTAGCAGCGTTGCTAACTCCTCAGTAAGGAAAGCCTGCTTCATGTCAGAGTCTCTAAACTCCAGAAGAAGTCGATAAAAGTCCCTTTCTTTCTAAAAAAAGTCGTTAGGGGGTCTGAAAAGTAATTGAATCTAACAACAAAGTTGCTAGGTTTGCAACTACGTGTCCCAGACTGCAACCCTGCTGAGAGTCCCTCCCTCCCTTCTCATGTTGCAGGAAGAACGTAAGCGCCCGCCCCTTGTCAATCAGTCACCATATAATTTTGGATTGGTTGTTGTGGTGAAGTTTTCCACCAATAGGAGAGATGTTGTGGTGTGTTTTTTTTTTCTTTTGGCAAGCCTTTTCCGCCTGTAAGACCTGTCGCTAATGTGTGCATGCTATGTTTTCCTGTCTCATACAGCGCGATCGAGCGCCGAACGTGATCAAAATAAGCAGAAAAAAAGTATCGCGGACATAATTTATCATAACTCTGGTTTTATTTGGCCTATCAACACAATTTAAAAACTGGTATATAGGTTGAGGTCCTCACTTTTGAGATAAGTTGAAACGGAGAGTTAACGAGGCTCCGTCTTGCAGCTACATCCGGTTAAATATGTCATGTGACTTGAACGCTGGGGAGCGTCAATCGAATCGAATCAAACCTAACTCTCAGATGAATCTTCAAAATTCACCTCAGAAATATGCTTATTATTCTTCTCAGAGTACTGCAGGATACACACACACACACACACAGACACACACACACACACGCACACACACACACACACATACACACACTCAGAGTCTGTTTTTTAGCACCTGCAAAAACATGCTATTTACATATTTGACAAGAATGCAGAGGCTTCCTTTTGCCCCTGAAAAAAATGAAATTTCAAACACAACTTGACTGCTCATTTCTCCAAAAGACAACCATGAAGCTCCATCCAAACCTGAAGCAGGCAGTTGGTGCATGTGTACAGTAACCTGAGGGGAGTGAGGTGACTGCTTCTGAGGAGAACATGAGCAGTGAAGATTCACCTTGGAGCTAGAACAGGGACGTGCACATGATAATACAGGGGCAGGGGCTCAAGTTTTTTCCAGTCGTTTATACAATATGGAAATTAATGTGAAATTAAAAAACAAAGTATGACTGTCCTGTGTAGGTGACAGTGATATCCAATAGGCTAGGCACTCACGAGGCTGGCTGTGGCAAGTGTAAGTGAAAGCAACACGCACTGGCAGGAAGAACAGCAAACGCCGATGAAGGAAAAGGGTCTTTGCAGTGATGGGCGTTACCAGAGAGGGCGATGGCCAGAGGACACGAATGGGACGGGGAGGCAGCGCGTTGGGGGGGGGGGGGGTTGCGACACGGCTCGGGCCCGCCAGTGCCCCAACGGGGCCCTAGTTCTTTCTTTCTTTCTTCTTATTTTTCCTCCCCTTTGAAGGGAAAAATGGCCCACTTCCCACTGGCGAAAACTCATGAAATTTGGCAGGACGACCGGGCCTGGTGAAAAATTCGATATTCTGAAGTCGCCCAAACAATAAAATGCAAAATGGCTCCATAGCGCCCCCTAAGGTGGAAATTCACACTATTGACTGTCACGCCTGTACGCTTTGTCATATTGACACAAAAATTGACACACATATGTATCTCAATAAGATCTACAAAAAAGTCAGTGCGGGCGTATCTGTCAAATGTACGGTTAAAGGGTTATTGCGCATTTTTTGCCGATCCGCACACATTGGAATTTCGCTAACTCCTCCGAAGGCTTTCGTTCCACCGGCACCACATTTGCTCAGGCCAATCTACACCCCATGGCCATTAAAAGTTATTCAAATCATGACGCTGCACCCCACGGTTTAGGTTCTAGGGGGCGCCAAAGATAACCCTAAAATCCACATATTTAAAAGTCTTATAACTTTTTATTTTTGCCCTCACTGGCCTCCAAGTTTTCTAGGATAATGCAATGTCCAGCCATCAACACATTTGTGAAGGCATTTTTACTCCCCAAAAGAGCGCCCCCCCATGGCAGGAGAAAAAAGTCAATTTTTTCTTGTCCCCTAAGGTGAAAATACACATTGTAGAGTGTCACGCCTGTACGCTTTGTCAAAATGACACAAAATTTGACATACACGTGTATTTCAATAAGATCTACGAAAAAGTCAATGGCCACGTATCTGTAAAATGTACGGTTAAAGGGTTATTTTGCATTTTTTGCAGATCCGCACACATTGGAATGTGGCTAACTCCTCCTAAGGCTTTCGTTCCACTGACACCAAATTTTCTCAGGCCAATCTACACCCCATGGCCATTCAAAGTTGTAAAAATCATGACGCTGCACCCCACGGTTTAGGTTCTAGGGGGCGCCAAAGAGGACCCAAATATCCACATATTTAAAAGTCTTATAACTTTTTATTTTTGTCCTCACTGGCCTCCAAGTTTTCTAGGATGATGCAATGTCCAGCCATCAACACATTTGTGAAGGAATTTTTTCTCCCCAAAAGAGCGCCCCCCCATGGCCGGAGAAAAAGTCAAGTTTTTCCTGCCCATCGCTCAATGGCTCAAACGCATCGCTCTCTCAGCAAAACCGAAAGGAGGAGCAACTTGCCATTTGGATATATCTTAGCTGTGTTTGTGCCCTCACTCATGGTCCAGACTTTTTTCAAAAAGGACATGGAGTTTGTCTGCAGCGAGCATTTTGGTAGAAACTGCGCCTCCCATTCATTATAATGGTAAATGACCACAGACAAGTGCGCACACCATCTTTGAACCTTGAGTGTGACGCGATCGGGAGGGGTAGGCGGTCGCGCTGGGGGCGGCGCGACACGGCTCGGGCCCGCCAGTGCCCCACCGGGGCCCTAGTTATTATTATTTTTCCTCCGCTTTAAACTGGAAAATGGCCCACTTCCCACTGGCGAAAACTCAGGAAATTTGGCAGGACGACCGGGCCTGGTGAAAAATTCGATATTCTGAAGTCGCCCAAACAATAAAATACAAAATGGCTCCATAGCGCCCCCTAAGGTGAAAATTCACACTATTGACTGTCACGCCTGTACGCTTTGTCATATTGACACAAAAATTGACACACACATGTATCTCAATAAGATCTACAAAAAAGTCAGTGCGGGCGTATCTGTCAAATGTACGGTTAAAGGGTTATTTCGCATTTTTTGCAGATCCGCACACATTGGAATTTCGCTAACTCCTCCGAAGGCTTTCGGTCCACCGGCACCACATTTGCTCAGGCCAATCTACACTCCATGGCCATTCAAAGTTGTACAAATCATGATGCTGCACCCCATGGTTTAGGTTCTAGGGGGCGCCAAAAATAACCCTAAAATCCACATTCTTAAAAGTTTTATAACTTTTTATTTTTGCCCTCACTGGCCTCCAAGTTTTCTAGGATGATGCAATGTCCAGCCATCAACACATTTGTGAAGGAATTTTTACTCCCCAAAAGAGCGCCCCCCCATGGCAGGACAAAAAAGTCAATTTTTTCTTGTCCCCTAAGGTGAAAATACACATTGTTGAATGTCACGCCTGTACGCTTTGTCATATTGACACAAAATTTGACAATCACGTGTATCTCAATAAGATCTACGAAAAAGTCAATGCGCGCGTATCTGTAAAATGTACGGTTAAAGGGCTATTTCGCATTTTTTGCCGATTCGCACACATAGGAATGTGGCTAACTCCTCCTAAGGCTTTCGTCCCACTGACACCAAATTTGCTCAGGCCAATCTACACCCCATGGCCATTCAAAGTTGTAAAAATCATGACGCTGCACCCCATGGTCTACGTTCTAGGGGGCGCCAAAGAGGACCCAAATATCCACATTTTTAAAGTCTTATAACTTTTTATTTTTGTCCTCACTGGCCTCCAAGTTTTCTAGGATGATGCAATGTCCAGCCATCAACACATTTGTGAAGGAATTTTTTCTCCCCAAAAGAGCGCCCCCCCATGTCAGGAGAAAAAGTCAAGTTTTTCCTGCCCATCGCTCAATGGCTCAAACGCATCGCTTTCTCGGCAAAACCGAAAGGAGGAGCAACTTGCCATTTGGATATATACTAGCTGTGTTTGTGCCCTCACTCATGGTCCAGACTTTTTTCAAAAAGGACATGGAGTTTGTCTGCAGCGAGTGTTTTGGTAGAAACTGCGCCTCCCATTCATTATAATGGTAAATGACCACAGACAAGTGCGCACACCATCTTTGGACCTTGAGTGTGACGCGATCGGGAGGGGTAGGCGGTCGCGCTGGGGGCGGCGTGACACGGCTCGGGCCCGCCAGTGCCCCACCGGGGCCCTAGTTCGTTATTATTTTTCCTCCGCTTTAAACTGGAAAATGGCCCACTTCCCACTGGCGAAAACTCAGGAAATTTGGCAGGACGACCGGGCCTGGTGAAAAATTCGATATTCTGAAGTCGCCCAAACAATAAAATGCAAAATGGCTCCATAGCGCCCCCTAAGGTGAAAATTCACATGACGGCTGTACGCTTTGTCATATTGACACAAAAATTGACACACACATGTATCTCAATAAGATCTATAAAAAAGTCAGTACGGGCGTATCTGTCAAATGTACGGTTAATGGGTTATTTTGCATTTTTTGCAGATCTGCACACATTGGAATTTCGCTAACTCCTCCGAAGGCTTTCGTTCGACCGGCACCACATTTGCGCAGGCCAATCTACCTCCCATGGCCATTAAAAGTTGTACAAATCATGACGCTGCACCCCACGGTTTACGTTCTAGGGGGCGCCAAAGATAACCCAAAATCCACATTCTTAAAAGTCTTATAACTTTTTATTTTTGTCCTCACTGCCCTCCAAGTTTTCTAGGATGATGCAATGTCCAGCCATCAACACATTTGTGAAGGAATTTTTACTCCCCAAAAGAGCGCCCCCCCATGGCAGGAGAAAAAAGTCAATTTTTTCTTGTCCCCTTACATGAAAATACACATTGTTGAGTGTCATGCCTGAACGCTTTGTCATATTGACACAAAAATTGACAATCACGTGTATCTCAATTAGATCTACGAAAAAGTCAAAAAGCGCGTATCTGTATAATGTACGGTTAAAGGGCTATTTCGCATTTTTTGCCGATTCGCACACATTGGAATGTGGCTATCTCCTCCTAAGGCTTTCGTCCCACCGATACCAAATTTGCTCAGGGCAATCTACACCCCATGCCCATTCAAAGTTGTAAAAATCATGACGCTGCACCCCACGGTTTACGTTCTAGGGGGCGCCAAAGATGACCCAAAAATCCACATTCTTAAAAGTCATTTTGGCCACTGCAGGAGTACAGAGTACTGCAGTTCTAGGGGGCGCCAAAGATGACCCAAAAATCCACATTCTTAAAAGTCTTTTTGGCCACTGCAGGAGTACAGAGTACTGCAGGATACACACACATATATACACACACACACACACACACACACACACACACACACACACACACACACACACACACACACACTCAGAGTCTGTTTTTTAGCACCTGCAAAAACATGCTGTTTACATATTTGACAAGAATGCAGAGGCTTCCTTTTGCCCCTGAAAAAAATCAGATTTCAAACACAACTTGACTGTTCATTTCTCCAAAAGACAACCATGAAGCTCCATCCAAACCTGAAGCAGATAGTTGGTGCATGTGTACAGTAACCTGAGGGGAGTGAGGTGACTATTTCTGAGGAGAACATGAGCAGTGAAGATTCACCTTGGAGCTAGAACAGGGACGTGCACATGATAATACAGGGGCAGGGGCTCAAGTTTTTTCCAGTCATTTATACAATATGGAAATTAATGTGAAATTAAAACACAAATATGTGTGATGAACTGTTTTTAAAACTTAAACTTCAAATAAAAATTGTAAACTTCAAAACATATGCAAATTTTTAACAAAGAACATAGTAATTTACCTCTATTTACATCAAAATGCAGGCAATGGCCCAGGCGTTCTTTGTAAAATTATTTACAAAACACTGTATAGTCTCACAAATGTCACTTTTTATTTATGCCACTACAAAAAAACATGATGTAAATGATGCATGATGTAAAACATGATGTAAAAAACTTGTGTAGATCCTCCTCTATGTCAGTCCATGTGTAATTTTTCCATAATTCTTTGTTTTTTGCAGCATTTTTGTTAGTGTAACTGCAGATTGTGCTGACAGTCTATGGCAAAAAAAACAAAAACTGAAAATGCCTCAACATGAACCCCTGGTGGTCTCTGAGGGTGAAACCTGCTAACTGCTGCAGCTCTGTCAGCTTCAGTCTCCCATGCAGAGCTCGGAGCGCATGTGTGGCTCTGCACCCTTAGCAGCGTTGCTAACTCCTCAGTAAGGAAAGCCTGCTTCATGTCAGAGTCTCTAAACTCCAGAAGAAGTCGATAAAAGTCCCTTTCTTTCTAAAAAAAGTCGTTAGGGGGTCTGAAAAGTAATTGAATCTAACAACAAAGTCGCTAGGTTTGCAACTACGTGTCCCAGACTGCATCCCTGCTGAGAGTCCCTCCCTCCCTTCTCATGTTGCAGGAAGAACGTAAGCGCCCGCCCCTTGTCAATCAGTCACCATATAATTTTGGATTGGTTGTTGTGGTGAAGTTTTCCACCAATAGGAGAGATGTTGTGGTGTGTTTTTTTTTTCTTTTGGCAAGCCTTTTCCGCCTGTAAGACCTGTCGCTAATGTGTGCATGCTATGTTTTCCTGTCTCATACAGCGTGATCGAGCGCCGAACGTGATCAAAATAAGCAGAAAAAAAGTATCGCGGACATAATTTATCATAACTCTGGTTTTATTTGGCCTATCAACACAATTTAAAAACTGGTATATAGGTTGAGGTCCTCACTTTTGAGATAAGTTGAAACGGAGAGTTAACGAGGCTCCGTCTTGCAGCTACATCCGGTTAAATATGTCATGTGACTTGAACGCACACATAGACACACACACACGCACACACACACACACACACACACACACACACACACACACACACACACACTCAGAGTCTGGTTTTTAGCACCTGCAAAAACATGCTATTTACATATTTGACAAGAATGCAGAGGCTCCTTTTGCCCCTGAAAAAAATCAAATTTCAAACACAACTTGACTGGTCATTTCTCCAAAAGACAACCATGAAGCTCCATCCAAACCTGAAGCAGGCAGTTGGTGCATGTGTACAGTAACCTGAGGGGAGTGAGGTGAGTGCTTCTGAGGAGAACATGAGCAGTGAAGATTCACCTTGGAGCTAGAACAGAGACATGCACATGATTATACAGGGGCAGGGGCTCAAGTTTTTTCCAGTCGTTTATACAATATGGAAATTAATGTGAAATTAAAACACAAAGTATTAATAGAAAGGTAATGACTGTCCTGTGTAGGTGACAGTGATATCCAATAGGCTAGGCACTCACGAGGCTGGCTGTGGCAAGTGTAAGTGAAAGCAACACGCACTGGCAGGAAGAACAGCAAACGCCGATGAAGGAAAAGGGTCTTTGCAGTGATGGGCGTTAACAGAGAGGGCGATGGCCAGAGGACACAAATGGGACGGGGAGGCAGCACGGGGGGGGGGGGGGGATGCGACACGGCTCGGGCCCGCCAGTGCCCCAACGGGGTCCTAGTTAGGGCCCGAGCGTAGCTGCTAAGCAGCTGCGAGAGCCCTCTTGTTCCTGTAGTTTCCTTCTTTTTAGGGCCCGAGCGTAGCTGCTAAGCAGCTGCGAGAGCCCTATTATTCCCCAAGGGGTTTTTCTTTGTTTCTTTCTTTCTTCTTTTTCCTCCCCTTTGAACTGGAAAATGGCCCACTTCCCACTGGCGAAAACTCATGAAATTTGGCAGGATGACCGGGCCTGGTGAAAAATTTAATATTCTGAAGTCGCCCAAACAATAAAATGCAAAATGGCTCCATAGCGCCCCCTAAGGTGAAAATTCACACTATTGACTGTCACGCCTTTACGCTTTGTCATATTGACACAAAAATTGACACACACATGTATCTCAATAAGATCTACAAAAAAGTCAGTGCGGGCGTATCTGTCAAATGTACGGTTAAAGGGTTATTCCGCATTTTTTGCCGATCCGCACACATTGGAATTTCGCTAACTCCTCCGAAGGCTTTCGTTCCACCGGCACCACATTTGCTCAGGCCAATCTACACCCCATGGCCATTAAAAGTTATTCAAATCATGACGCTGCACCCCACGGTTTAGGTTCTAGGGGGCGCCAAAGATAACCCTAAAATCCACATATTTAAAAGTCTTATAACTTTTTATTTTTGACCTCACTGGCCTCCAAGTTTTCTAGGATGATGCAATGTCCAGCTATCAACACATTTGTGAAGGAATTTTTAATCCCCAAAAGAGCGCCCCCCCATGGCAGGAGAAAAAAGTCCATTTTTTCTTGTCCCCTAAGGTGAAAATACACATTGTTGAGTGTCACGCCTGTACGCTTTGTCATATTGACACAAAATTTGACACACACATGTATATCAATAAGATCTACAAAAAAGTCCATGCGCGCGTATCTGTCAAATGTACGGTTAAAGGGTTATTCCGCATTTTTTGCCGATACGCACACATTGGAATTTCGCTAACTCCTCCGAAGGCTTTCGTTCCACCGGCACCACATTTGCTCAGGCCAATCTACACCCCATGGCCATTAAAAGTTATTCAAATCATGATGCTGCACCCCATGGTTTAGGTTCTAGGGGGCGCCAAAGATAACCCAAAAATCCACATTCTTAAAAGTCTTATAACTTTTTATTTTTGTCCTCACTGGCCTCCAAGTTTTCTAGGATGATGCAATGTCCAGCCATCAACACATTTGTGAAGGAATTTTTACTCCCCAAAAGAGCGCCCCCCCATGGTAGGAGAAAAAAGTCAATTTTTTCTTGTCCCCTTACATGAAAATACACATTGTTAAGTGTCACGCCTGAACGCTATGTCATATTGACACAAAAATTGACAATCATGTGTATCTCAATTAGATCTACGAAAAAGTCAAAGAGCGCATATCTGTATAATGTACGGTTAAAGGGCTATTTTGCATTTTTTGCCGATTCGCACACATTGGAATGTGGCTATCTCCTCCTAAGGCTTTCGTCCCACCGATACCAAATTTGCTCAGGGCAATCTACACCCCATGCCCATTCAAAGTTGTAAAAATCATGACGCTGCACCCCACGGTTTACGTTCTAGGGGGCGCCAAAGATGACCCAAAAATCCACATTCTTAAAAGTCATTTTGGCCACTGCAGGAGTACAGAGTACTGCAGTTCTAGGGGGCGCCAAAGATGACCCAAAAATCCACATTCTTAAAAGTCTTTTTGGCCACTGCAGGAGTACAGAGTACTGCAGGATACACACACATATACACACACGCCAACATACACACACACACACACACACACACACACACACACAGACACACACACACACTCAGAGTCTGTTTTTTAGCACCTGCAAAAACATGCTGTTTACATATTTGACAAGAATGCAGAGGCTTCCTTTTGCCCCTGAAAAAAATCAAATTTCAAACACAACTTGACTGTTCATTTCTCCAAAAGACAACCATGAAGCTCCATTTCAAACCTGAAGCAGATAGTTGGTGCATGTGTACAGTAACCTGAGGGGAGTGAAGTGACTATTTCTGAGGAGAACATGAGCAGTGAAGATTCACCTTGGAGCTAGAACAGGGACGTGCACATGATTATACAGGGGCAGGGGCTCAAGTTTTTTCCAGTCATTTATACAATATGGAAATTAATGTGAAATTAAACCACAAATATGTGTGATGAACTGTTTTTAAAACTTAAACTTCAAATAAAAATTGTAAACTTCAAAACATATGCAAATTTTTAACAAAGAACATAGTAATTTACCTCTATTTACATCAAAATGCAGGCAATGGCCCAGGCGTTCTTTGTAAAATTATTTACAAAACACTGTATAGTCTCACAAATGTCACTTTTTATTTATGCCACTACAAAAAAACATGATGTAAATGATGCATGATGTAAAACATGATGTAAAAAACTTGTGTAGATCCTCCTCTATGTCAGTCCATGTGTAATTTTTCCATAATTCTTTGTTTTTTGCAGCATTTTTGTTAGTGTAACTGCAGATTGTGCTGACAGTGTCTATGGCACAAAAAAAAATAAATTAAAATGCCTCAACATGAACCCCTGGTGGTCTCTGAGGGTGAAACCTGCTAACTGCTGCAGCTCTGTCAGCTTCAGTCTCCCATGCAGAGCTCTGAGCGCATGTGTGGCTCTGCACCCTTAGCAGCGTTGCTAACTCCTCAGTAAGGAAAGCCTGCTTCATGTCAGAGTCTCTAAACTCCAGAAGAAGTCGATAAAAGTCCCTTTCTTTCTAAAAAAAAGTCGTTAGGGGGTCTGAAAAGTCATTGAATCTAACAACAAAGTCGCTAGGTTTGCAACTACGTGTCCCAGACTGCATCCCTGCTGAGAGTCCCTCCCTCCCTTCTCATGTTGCAGGAAGAACGTAAGCGCCCGCCCCTTGTCAATCAGTCACCATATAATTTTGGATTGGTTGTTGTGGTGAAGTTTTCCACCAATAGGAGAGATGTTGTGGTGTGTTTTTTTTTTCTTTTGGCAAGCCTTTTCCGCCTGTAAGACCTGTCGCTAATGTCTGCATGCTATGTTTTCCTGTCTCATACAGCGCGATCGAGCGCCGAACGTGATCAAAATAAGCAGAAAAAAAGTATCGCGGACATAATTTATCATAACTCTGGTTTTATTTGGCCTATCAACACAATTTAAAAACTGGTATATAGGTTGAGGTCCTCACTTTTGAGATAAGTTGAAACGGAGAGTCAACGAGGCTCCGTCTTGCAGCTACATCCGGTTAAATATGTCATGTGACTTGAACGCACACACAGACACACGCACACACACACACACACACACACACACACTCAGAGTCTGGTTTTTAGCACCTGCAAAAACATGCTATTTACATATTTGACAAGAATGCAGAGGCTCCTTTTGCCCCTGAAAAAAATCAAATTTCAAACACAACTTGACTGGTCATTTCTCCAAAAGACAACCATGAAGCTCCATCCAAACCTGAAGCAGGCAGTTGGTGCATGTGTACAGTCACCTGAGGGGAGTGAGGTGAGTGCTTCTGAGGAGAACATGAGCAGTGAAGATTCACCTTGGAGCTAGAACAGGGATGTGCACATGATTATACAGGGGCAGGGGCTCAAGTTTTTTCCAGTCATTTATACAATATTGAAATTAATGTGAAATTAAAAAACAAGTATTAATAGAAAGGTTATGACTGTCCTGTGTAGATGACAGTGATATCCAATAGGCTAGGCACTCACGAGGCTGGCTGTGGCAAGTGTAAGTGAAAGCAACACGCACTGGCAGGAAGAACAGCAAACGCCGATGAAGGAAAGGGTCTTTGCAGTGATGGGCGTTACCAGAGAGGGCGATGGCCAGAGGACGCGAATGGGACGGGGAGGCAGCGCGTTGGGGGG